CTCCTCCCCCTTCTTCTGCACCCATGTCTCTCTCCCGGAGCTGCAGATTCCATGCCATCTTTTGAAATAAGTTCTTCTGAGGGGAGGGCCAGATGTCCACTTAGTATTTGGGATTGGGGCCGGCCCCCCAGGTAAAGTGGTTTTTGACCCCCTTTATTCTACCTTTTCTGCTAGAATTGTAGTAACAAGTACTAACCAACATTATCTCTATTTAGATAATGAGAAGGAAGTCTGATCTCTAGCTCCCCATTCTGAGGACTTTAGCTGATGTAGAATAGTTGATAACAACAAGGCCTTGTATGCATTCCTTCCCAAAGTTATTTGAAACTTGGGCTTAGAGATGTGTGCTCTATACTGGTATACTCTGCAAGGCCTAGTTTGATTGGTATTGTAATGTGGTCAAATGGTTTCTGAGATACAGTAAATTTTTTTAATGTCAGTAGATCAAAGGATACTAACGGAAGAGATAGATGAGGATGGAGAAGGTAAGAAATGTTAACAGTTGAGAGGCCAGCAGAAAAGCTAAAATAGTAGATTCCTTAGGATTATCTAATCCACCTTCAGTACGTTAAGATCAGACTCCATATTTTCACTGCTTTCTGACAATTACCTACTATTGATATGTGTTCTTTAGGTTAGGTGACCAGACGTCCCGCTTTTGGCGGGACAGTCCCAATTTTTAACAATTTTTCCCGCGTCCTGTGGCGTTTTTAAAAAGTCCCCATTTTTGAAAAGAATGCACGACAAACTAGGGTATACGGTTTTCGGCTGCCATGTGGCTATTTCGCCAGGATATGAGTTTTATCAGTGGTGTCCTGCTTTTGTCCCACTTTACCAATGTTAAAATCTGGTCACCTTATCCTTAGGTATACTTAAATATTGATTGTTAACTGCCACACTGAAAACCTTTCAAATATTTTCATCTAGATTTTGGAAATAATCAGGGTCATTTTAAAACTCTATGAACAGTGGAAGAATTTTGATGAGAGAAAAGAGATGGCAACTATTCTTAGTAAGATGCCCAAACCAAAACCACCTCCAAACAGGTACTTTTTTGCTTTCATTTTTGAATTATTTTAATTACATATTTCATAGTACATTATCATATTTTTTCCTTAGATAATGTTATATATCATTTAAAATTTTTTTTGTTTTAAAACTTCATGGTGCGTGGTTGCTTTCGTTGCTTATTAATTTATGACACAAATTGAGAATATCTCTTAGATCTATATACTGATATTGCCATCTATTTAGCAAATTTTCTTAATAAAATGGCAGGCCTATTACAGGTATCCCTCAACATATGGCTACATAGTGTATAGACATTAAAACAGACTCATATCAGGACATGTATTTGGTATTCCAGGGAAAAGGGTTATGAAGTAGTTCCATGTCAGTTTGTCTCTATACAGTCTTTCCCCACTGTGGACTGTAGACTCTTATCCGAAATTTAGTGCCAGTGTTCTTAGTTGACTGAGCTGACCTGGAACTTTGTATGATGTCTGTCAAAAAAAACCAAGAACTTGTACAAGCATTTTCATAAATTAACAATTTGCAAAAACCAGTGAATGAATCCATCCCTGAAAAATTAGTTCAAGAATTAGAAAAGTTATGTTTTAGCATACATGCTTTGAAATAGGATAGGGTCATCTATCCACACTGCTAGGAAGAAGAAAATTCTATAACTGAAGAAGCTCATTGAAGAAGAATGGTTTTGTGGGTAGGAGAAAATACTAAACACTTAGAAAAATCAAGGTGCAAACGCATGGTGTTTATTTTATGATAGATATTGATATTATCATGTGTCCCTCATCCACTAACATAAATCCAACGGATAAGGATCTTGACTTGGATTTTGGCCAGTGCTGGCATTGCAGTGTTGCCCCCCAAAGAAGTAAGTTCCTAGAAGGATACAATGAATGATATCAAGGGAATTCCATACATATATATTTGAAGTGAGAAAAAAAGTTTCACATTTTACATGCTCAAGTGATGGTAAAGATGTCATGGATGTAATAACTGAAAATGATTTGGGATATAATTCATAGTATGGTCTAGGGTATGACTGAGCACTGAAAAAGGCCTTTAGGAATTGGTTTAATAAAAAGTTGAAGATTAGAAAATAAAACAGCTAAATGAAATCTTCACAAATTAGAAAGTTTTTTTAGGGTCTTTTGAGAGAGATTTGTTTTCTCCATCAGATTTTCTACCACCTGGCTTACCAATTTCTTTTACCAAACACTTACAGCTTACTTGCTATAATCTGCCCTTGGCCTGCTGTGGAGCACATTTCCTAATGGTCATGCATTGACTGCATGTACTGCACAGCTTCAACATGATCATCGTTCACAGTTTTTAGTAACATTTCCTCCATTTTAGAATCCAGGTAAAATCAAGTTAAACAATAGTAATAAAATAATATACTATTGCTATTTTAGTGGCCAGATTTAATTGAATATAATTATAAATGACTAATTCAAAGTCTCTTGGATCATTAAGGGCTAAAAGCATCAGCAAGAATTACAGTTATACTCTACTGCATTTAATAGAAAATGAGATGAGCTGTTTGTAAATATAAAGTACCTAGATTTATAAGGATCTCCTCAAGCATCCCTCAGAAATGTCAAGGATCTGCTATATTTCCTCGAAAATACGTCTGCCTTGATGTTGCTTGCACTACATGCTATCTGCGGACTATGGTGTAAGGATGACGACCCCATGCAGCAGAGTAGGACTGCCCCTGTTGGTTTCCAAGGCTGTAAATCCTAATGGGAGCTTCAAGCCTCATCTTTCAAAATCCCCTGGAGCGTTGGTGGGTTTGACGCACTGACCTTATGGTTAGCAGCCCAGTACCTAACCTGTGGGTTACCAACTTGCCTATCTAAAACTGCCAGTGCTGGTTTTCCCAAATTGTTAAACAAATTCAGACACGTGTCTAAGTTGTTAAAAACAAAACAAACCTAACATCATAAAGGCCCTTAGGGCTCAGTTGTCAAAGTGCACAATAAAGGCCTTTACATAAGAGAAAAACTCGAGGAGGGGGAAGGTCAGGCTGTGGAAGGGAAGTAAAGAAATGCTACCCATCTTAATCAAGAAAAACCATATATTATATAATTAAAATAGATTTATACATTGTTACTGGTGAAGTTTATGTGACCCTTGGGAAAGATGAAGTTATGCAAGGAGCTGTTTTAAAGGAGTTACTCAAACAGCTACCTTTGGATGCATTTTTTTGCAGAAATTCCTTGAGTGATTCTCCTCTAGTGGCAGGGCCTGAAACTGCAAGATGATGATGGACAGGATAAAGCAATAATCCTATTGCCACAGTTCCTGGTATTTTCCTTTTTAGTTATTTTTGTTTTAAATATTAAGCATTTTCCAAGAAATTCATGGACTATTTCCTTCTGACTTAAAAAGGTTTGCTGTATTTACGTGATTTTATTATACCTCTGGACGGTAATGTGTTTGGAAGAACACTTTCTGATTTTCATCGTCATTTAAAAGGAATAGGATTTTACATGTAGGATTTAGTTTTATAGAAGTTTCTTCAGAAAAAGTTCTCCCTGTGTTGAGTGGTACCTGTAATGACAAGACCCAAACCCTAATGTAAATTTTGTGTGTGTACATGGATGCTAACTTACAGAATACTTGTTATGTGTGAGCACACACAGTTCCATAAAAATAAAAGCATAAAACCAATGGTGCTTTTCTGGGTTTGAATTTTTCCACCTCTCTGTGTGACATTCAGCAATGTATTTTATAGAATTGTTGTAGACTATTTTTTTAATTAATGTGTTTAATCAGGCTGCTGAAAATGAATCTTTTAATTGGTACAAAATTTCTTTCTTCCCCCACTTTAACAGTGAAGGAGAGCAGGGTCCAAATGGAAGTCAGAACTCTAGCTACAGCCAGTCTTAAAACATTCCGAAGATTTTCATAGTGGACCACTTGGAAATAAACCATTGGACAGATTTCAATAAGTCTTCAATGGGACACAAATGAAAATGAATAGTTGGTTTCTGTCAAGCACTTTGGGAAGTGATTTTATTTTTGCAAAATAATTTTCCTTACCTGGTTTGATTTTACTGCATCGTTGATTAAAACCTCTTAATTATAAAAGTTTTGAAAGGTTCTAAGGAACCTGCAGATAGACAGACATAGACATATCAAGATTTATAGCTCTTTGATTAGTATAATTTTTTAAGTTGAATAATGTAATTCTAAAATTTGGATTTGTAGCTTTTTATTGTCAGGAAACATGAACATAATTTGTTTTAAATTCTCTTTGGTCACTGAAGGACCAGAACAAGGACAATAAAAGTCAAACATCTGAGGGCTTTTTTCCCTCTTTAACTTAACTTTAAAGCTGTATTTAAGGAATCAAATCTTACAAAATCCTGGAAGATTTTGATAATGATGTTGATGATTTCAGGGAAAATAATCAAGTACCTATTGATTTAAAAGTATATTTTATTCAGTAGTTTTGGTGTCTTGCCAGGGAAGATTCTAGCCCAGTCTAGCAGGAAAGTGCAATATGTATAGCAAACATATTTTGATGTTTTAAAAGTTATATTAATTCTGTAAACATTTTGAAATGCTGGGCAAACTTTAAAAGAAAAAAAAGATCCTACATGAAGTTATTTGCAATCGAGTCACAGTTAATCAGGCATTTAAAATTTTTTAATTGGCTAAAACACCGTAATATGGTTAAAATTTGGTAAACTTTCTGTGTTAATTTTTACTGTACTGTGAACAAATTTTATAATACATACATCCCTTACTTTATGTTTTTGTTTTAGTGTGATGTCACAGATTTACTACAGACATCCTGAGCCAAGAACACAATCAGGTTTCAGGCCAGTTTGGTACGAGCTATTCTAAATTCTGGTGTGAGTGTAGGAGTTCAGGCTCAATGTCATCTTAGTGGGGCTGTGCTGTCTGTGGAACTTAATGAATTAATAATTGTCTTCAGACTTGAAGGAGAGTGGTAAATAAGATAAGGAGTTAAAGGATGTCAATGTACAATTTAAGGGTTAATTGTGGAAAACGGATTATTAAATGTTGAATTCCTAGTATAAGACTGCAAGAATAAAAGTGAGTTCTCCAGCTCTGTTGACTAGTGTCTTGAATTACCTTTTGGGATCTGCCTTAGTTTTTCCTGAGAGCCCTTCCTTTAGATGATACTCGTTTGTCAAAGAGTCCCGGTGATGCAATGGTTACACACTCCCTACTAACCGCACATTCAGCATTTCAAGCCCACCTGCCATTCGCCAGGGTCAGCTGTGGTAGTGTGCTTCTCTAAAGATGACAGCCTTGGAGACAGACCCTTTGCTCTAGCCACTACGGGCCACACAGCAGGATCGATTCATGGCAGTAAGGGGAGTTAAGCAGGATATGAAAGATGAGGGACTCTCCTCGGGTCTGAAGGAATTGGGCTGGGCCTGAGTTAGAAGGGTAAAGTTAACATGCGCTGACTTGATGCTTATTTTGCCTTTCAGTCTACCTATGTTCTTGTAACATTTTTGGTACTTTTAAAATTAGTACATATGCCTGGTAGATTTCCCCCCAACTTCTTATTGTGGAAAAATTTAAATTTGTAAAAGAATAGCTACAATAGAGCAGAGTGTCCACATCAGCAGTCCATTGTCAGTCTCCATCTAGCCCACTGCCAGCTTTCCTTACTGGTATACTGTTTTCAAGCAAATCCTAGACATCATTCCATCCTTCAGTATTTCATTGTTTTACCCCAAACTAAATAAACTAATAAACTCTAAAGAACTTTATTGGATCTATAAAAATTACTAAAAAGAAAACAATTTCTTAATAGCTAATGTTAACAATTATTTCATAAATAGCATTAAAATGTGTTAATTTCACTCAGTCTAAACAAGAGCCACACAATGCAGTTCATTGCTGTGTCCTTTAAATCTTTTTAATGCATGGACTTTTCTCATCATTTTTTACATTCCCCTTGTAATTTCTTTTTGGAAGAAATTGATTTACTTATCAATGAAGAGCTTCCCATGATTTGGATTTTGCTGATTGCCTTCTTGAGGTGTTCTTTGACATGTTCCTTTCCTGTATTTTCTGTAAATTGGCCATTGAATCTAGAGGCTTGATCAGATTAGATTTTTTTTAATTTGGGGGGGCAGACCTACTGTATGAAATCGTGGCGTAGTCCTTGATGAGGAAGCATAGAATGTCTGGTTGTTTCTTTCTGTGATTTTGCAGCCTATGATGATATGTATCAGTTTTAAAAATCAAATATTACAAGAAGGTTGCACGGCCCGGTATGTGAGCCATGTGGCTGTATTGAACACTTGAAACATGAATAGTCAGAATTGAGATGTGCTGTAGATGTACAAATACACGTTGGACTTCAAACAGTACAAAACAATGTAAAATATCTCAATATGTTTATATTGATGACCTGTTTTAAATGATAATATTTTGGATACCTGGGATTAAATAAAACATTAAAATGAATTTCACCTGATTTTGTGTGATTTTTTTTTTTTTTTTTGCTTTCTAAAATGTAAAAATAGTTGAAACTG